CAAGCAGCAGGCCCTGATCTACGATTTATCTACCAATGGCAACTACATGGAGATAATAAACCATCTATGGCAGAGTTGAAGGATCATTCCTTTTTCACCATAAAACAGCTGGTTTTGGTTTTCCAAATAGATAATTCCACTTGCTTATCAACAAACAAGGAAAGAAAAGTATGACTTAGCTTCAACATAATTTCTGGTTCTATATGACGTGAACATGAAGACCAATCCTAAAAGGGTGAAATATAAGGTATTTTGATATCCGTTTTATTGTTAGAAACAGTTGGTCTCAGTGTATTATTAATTTTTAGTAATGAAAGAAAAAAACCCAACCACTCCTCATAAGTGATTGAGATTCGCGCCTCAATCAAGAACGTCAGCTGCATAACGAAGCATGGGTCGATTGATTGGTTTCAATAATTCGATGAATGTCTTATGTAGAAAAAAATCATACGTAAATCTTATTAGTGGAATACCAGTAACAGTTGCGATGACAAATATCCATAACTACGATATTTCCTCTATTAATTCTCAGGTATTAATGTCCGAGTTACCTGACTAATTTATTCAAGTTACTTTGTACTTCATACCTACCCACTAAGTATTACCCTATAGATTTTAAAGTTATCGACAAATGTATGCCTACAATATGAACAGTTCCTTAAAATATGGATAAATAATATAAAGATGAATGTAAGAAGTTTTGCCCTTCAGAAATCCTGTCCACACAAGATTCAACCAAGACAGTCCTCTGTTCAACTTTGCTTTAAGCGCAATCAATGTCAATATAGTAAAGTTGCTGCTGAGGCCAGTAAAGCTTTACGAAATTCGTATCTGGAACACCTTATTCCATTTACTTGAGGTTAGTAAGCATAACATTAAGAAGCGTATTTCCCCCGAGTTATTACTTATTTATTTCATAGTGAAGAAGTTCAGTATGAAAGTCATAATGAATTGGTGTCGGCTAAGGGATCTATCGAAAATTACCGTCAAATGTACTTTAACAATGAAGTGGGTTTGATTGATGGAATGGTAGCTCGAATTAAGTTATTAATTTATACCAACCAATTTGATAATTTTTTTCGTATTTCCTTGTTAATTTTCTCTATAAGTATGGCAAATTAATATTCCATATCAACTCATGGCATCTTTATATATTTACTTTATAAATGTTAACTTTTATTAGGTCCCTAGTATATAGTGCGCTAGTGGACAATAACTCCCAAATGAACAAATACCATTTAGATAACCTGTATATTATCGCACAGTAAGAAAACAATTCATATTGTAAATCAACAGTAAGTGATAAGCAAATTAAAAAGGAATAACACTGAAGCAAACAACAGACTAGAAGCTATAGATAAACATATTGTCCTGATTGACACTCATTAGAATGATGTGTCAATAATTCCCATCAACAAATTCACATGTATATACGAGTACCGGAACCAGTTATATACTATTGCTGGAATATTCAGATGAGATAGCTGACTGATGACTATGAATACATCTGCGAAAAAACTAAGTTTAGAGCTTCTCATCAATTGGCAACATTAATCTAACATGAAAATATGTTTTAGATTATGTGAATATGAGAAATACGACCATTAATTTAGAGACAACATAGCAACGAAATATATGGATTGGAATCAATCAACCGTTTACTCGTAAAGTTTAATAATATATTCAAAAAAAAAGAAGACAAAATCATCCACATCTTTGGTTACTTAAGAAACATATTTCAAAATACATGTATTACTATTATAACAGTCATATAAAGATTACTATATAACTTAATGATTTAATAGCATTTAGACCAGCAGTAACAATTAGTTATTTTTGGATCAACGTTCGGTTGCGTCATCTAGTTGACAATCTGACGAAGAAAATCACATGGTGAATTATGCCTGATGATATAACGATAATATTCATAAAAGTATTTAATTTCTGTTTCTCATATTTCACAAAACTGTTATTATCTTGATTTCTTTTTAACAGACATTATTATGGACCAAATTACATAAACTTAGAGTATACATATGTACGTTAAAAACGTAGATAAAAGAAAAGAAAACGAACTGGTTGAGTAAAAGTCGACAAACATTAGTGACATACACGGATATCCCAGAGATGAAGGTACACGAATAAGGGGTGGGTGGATTAAAAGCAATAGAATCCTACTTACAGGACATTATTTAAGCATATAATACGAAAATAAACAACAGCTGTTTTTCAAACGAGCAGATTGTTATTGAGTTAAATAAAGTTGAACAAAGAAAAGAAAGTAGAGAAATATGAACAAATGGAACTGTGTCGACTACTTTGATGTATATATGTTTTAAGTAAATATGCTTAATCTAGTAGATAGATGGATACTATTAATTTAGACAATCACAATACATGGATTTAATTAGTAATGATCATAGTTCATATTGTATTTCTTGGATATCATTGTTCGCTAGTTTTAAAGATAAATTGAAATTGTTGTCCAGAAATTTTAGGTATTAAACCTTATTCAGTAAAATAAATAAATAATTCTCTTTAGATTAATTATTCAGGCAGGGTTTAGACTTATATTCAATTCCTGATATTTCCAACTATGATATAATAAGTAATAATCAATGTTACATTTTCTAGTCCTTAGTGATGATGAGATTTGATTGATAAAGTTGCATTGTAGCCAGAAGGATTAGTAACTTAAAGTTATGGTGTATTTCGCTGATGTCTGGAGGTACTTATTATCAAACTATTTGTTCTGGCGGCTGTAATGCAACTTGAATGATGAAATTTGTCTTAATAGTGACTAAACAAAATGTAATTGATTATTTCGATGTAGCCAATTAATGTGCGTACATTAGTTTTACAGGAAGTTATTTGTGGCACAAAAATCACTCACGAAGGGTTCGAATACGATATGAAGCACGAGTTGCTGTTTGATTACAGTTATATTTTTCTAACAGGTACTAGAGAGTATGAAATCTAGATCTAGATCTTTTGGCCGATTCCTTTTAACAGCCTAATGTAATGTTAAATTTCACACAAGTTGTTATTACCTATAAGTAGTCGATAAGTTTCATAATCCACAGAGCTTCTTATAAGAAATATAGATTAACTCATGAAGGTGCATAATAAATGAATATTTTATGACTATTTTTTAAGTATCCATCGATTGAAAGTCTAAATTAAGAGGAAATGATTAATCTTTTTCGTTTGCAATTTAAATCTATGAAAACTAAAGAAAGCACCCAAATAACCGGATGTTACAACAAACAGTATCGTGAGATTATAGACCATGTTGTTGTTCTTTAACTGAAAATGCTTACAAACCGATGCCAATCACTAACACTACGATATTCTCAACTAAATATTGAATTTAAAGGATTTACATTTTAAAAGCACAAAAAGCTCCTTCATAGTTACAAACACACTATATTAATGAGTGCTGATAAGTATTAAATGAAAGTTCAAATTTTTCTGCAAACTGTTTAGAAACGTACATTATTAAGCAAAATATCCTGTAAACATTGAAACTTATAATGTACATCATGACTGTGTGTGAATGTAATTCAGATACCTACTTGAGGTTAGTATGAGATTAGCAATTGCTCGCTGTATGACAATGGGATGTGAACAAATCTCCAGATTTATTGAGTAGGCTGAATTCCAACCGCAGCGTAAATAACAACACTTAGTCTTTCAAAAGCAAAAGTTCGGCTCCAGCTGATGGACTACTTGTCTCACAAAATCAGGAATTTCGAGAACTCAGGTTGAGTACCAAGATGTTATATCGACGTCTTTAGCTTTTATTTATTTATCCAGTAAGGCTTTATTAGGATAAGCTTTATCTCCCTGTAAATTATTATATGAACACTACGTTTCCGCGTAAATGTGTTATTAAATGTGCGTCTAAACTAAGAATAATAACTCGTACTGATGATCGAAAACAATAGGAAAAAACTTTGTGTTACTAATTATTGTTTTTTAGACAGTCACAACTGTTTTTAGTTATATTTGTATTAGAAACAGCTAGAGCATGTGGCGATTTCTCTGTACGGGAAACTTTAGGAGGAAACGCAGTTATATATTTCGGAGATGGAAAGAGAAAACAATTTCTGAACAATAGATAAACGACAACTCGAGTACGGAGACAGCTTAACTAAGCAATATTAGGTGCACTATTTACATTACCCACTGAAGTGACAGCACATCCAAACTCATTGTAGTCATAAACCTTAATGCGTAACGCATGGGGACGACATTACTTTTTGAAAAAGTAGTGGGAGATACTCGTAAGTTGCTAGTATTTTATCACAGATGTCTTAGAAATATTGCTCGCATCTACTGGGATCATCCGGTAAGTAATAGTGAGGTTGGACGCAGGTTATTAGGGAACGATAATAAATCAGTTGAAGAGGTTTTAAGTCTCCATCGACTGAAATGGTTGGACCACGCGTTGCATATGCCTCAAAAGCGATTATCACGACGCGCAATGCTGACTAGTGTTGGGGATGGTTGGAAGAAAGGGGCGGCCAAACCAAACCGTGGTAACAATCCACCAAGCCAATAACTTCTGGTTTGAGTCATGTGGATAGATACAGACTACTTGGTTGGGTCCGTGTGACTATCATAACCAATGGCTGCAGACTCTGAGTGACATGGCTCAGAGTCAATCACAATGGTGTAGGTGTATGCACTCGTTGTCCTCCCTTAAACTGTGTGATTAAAATTGCTCTACACCTTTCTTTCTGCGAACTAATTCTTTCTTTCTGTACTACATCCTTATACACAGTCTTTTTTAATACATTACTACCATTGAGTTGAGTACTTCTATGAATCCAGTGTTCATCTTTTTGTGTTAATGAGGTGCGGCAACTTGGACCGATGCATATATGTTCCTGGCCGTACGTTGTAGCTGACTGATTTGTTTTTCAGAAAGCTGAATACGTATTTTGTTTAAACATAGACAACAGAGCCCGAACTGGAGACCCACAAGCAGAATACCGTTAAATTTGTATCATTTCTTTATTAACTAAGTAGTTCAAAAAATATTTATGGAACAAAACGAGTTCAACAATATGCAAAAAACTGGCTACTATACGTGAAGTGATGAACGCCAAATAATGACAGTTTTAACAAAACTGATAGAATATCAAATGGGAGTTTGATTGTTTGCAGAGGTATCCTGTCTGGGTACATATTTCGAGTCTCGCTGCCCAAATATTGCCGTTCCTATGCGGACGTTAGTGCTTCCAAGTCGTATCTATATTTACAGTTAATAATGTTGAAAACTTACAGCCTGCTCAAAATCGTGAGACATTCCCATACTTAGTTCAAAATCCAACGGCGATTTCCCAAAGAAGAGGCCAGTAACTCTCTGCATTGTACAAGTTTCTGAAATATAAGTTAACCAAAATACTAACCACAAAGTCCGGATTTGGACCTGAATTGATATCTACTCCTTCTTTTCCAATGCACATAAGACCAACGACTTTTAAGTGAGGGCATTTTGCTTCAATTTGATTGTACAGATTATTAACTTCAGTGGGTTTGATGCCACTCTTCTCTAAAAACTGAGTTATGCAATAAAGTAGAACTACGAGGCTCTCCACTTGTGTTCACCTGAATCATTATGTTTAGAGGGATCTGATGGTTTAACCCCCATGATAAATTAAGAATCTCAGCATGGTCCATTGAGTCCACAGTTTCTACCATGTGTAGATTGTTAACTCCTTAAGACGTAAGATAAAGGTGAATAACTACCGGCAAGCTTTTTTATTTTATTGGATTGAATCCGGCCTATGAAGTGCCACTTAATATCCGGACAAGACTTAATTAACTGAATATTCTGCTTAGTCTATAGGTGCACAAATATACCTCAGGTGAGTAACTCTTGTCATACAAATGAACAATCTAATGTTATTAGTTTAAGATATTCCTCTGACTACCTTGTTCTCTCCAAAATGTCTTTGTCCAAAATTATAAGCTTCTATAATAGACTTAATAGGTTTTTCTTTCGAAACTGCGACCAAGCGACAAAGTTTTTGGTTAGATGAGGACTAAATATCCATGTACACAAACAAATGACAAGCCTACTGCTTTACATGCTTCTTCAATTTGATGTAAGATGTGAGGCAGATTTATTGGCATTATGACATTTAACGTCTGGTAATTTTGCGTCTTGTTTGAAGCGACGCAGTGTGCTGGAGAATGCGGAAAACAGAGTGAGTGAACGAATCTAAAAAGGAATGCATGAAGAAAAGTGAGATGATGACTGATTAGACATACAGAATATACTTAAACCAAGTTATGAAGATCTGAAATAATTAGCAGTAACATGAGCGAGACCAAAACACTCGAACGGCTGAAACTAGAAATTGGTAGCGCAAGAGTTAAACGTCCAGATTGTTCAAATGGTTCTGTTTGGAATAGTTGAAGCTTTCGTTTAACGGGCTTCTATATATAGCAGCAGTAAATCACCGATACCTCCAGGCAGGAACCTAGGTATATTATCGATAAAAGAGGAAAAAGAAACAAAGTTGGTAAGTCGTAGTGAGATACTGTCCTTAGTCCTTAAGAATATGTCAAGTTTTCTCTTAAAAGACTCATGGGAAGTCGCTTGAACTAACTCAGCCGGTAGCGAATTCCGGCATTTGACTACTCTTTTGGAGTAGAAGATGTGTCTACAATCCGTTCTGCTCAGTTGTGTCTCCTGTTTCTGGGTATTACCCCTAAGGTTTGTGTTGGAACTGAGCTTAAGTAAGTGTTTAGGGGGATGTCCGCAAGCATTTAGAATGCTGTAAGTTATTAAAAAGTCACATCTAAGACGCATGTACTCTAATGAGTTCAGTGATTGGAGGCGCTCTTCTTAGGACTTAAATTTGAACCCCCGAACTGATTTCGTGGCTCACCGTTAGATACGTTCCAGAGTGTCCTTACCCCTTTGGAGTGAGGGAGGAAACACTATGTTTCCGTACTCTAAATGGGGACGAATAAAACTGTTGAAGATCATGTGTAAATTTCTTGAGTCGAACTGGCCGGAAATGCGCCTCGATATTACCAAAGCACGGTTTGCTCGGAAGGCATTTTTGTCACATTTGTCGTAAGACTTAAAATCGTGGGGTACCAGTACTTCCAGATCGTTTTCAACTGGCATACCTCTAGAGGAGAGTCACCTAGGTTGTAGTTATAGTCTGCAACATGTCTCTGATGGACTGATTTACTTTTTAACTGTTAAATGTAAGTCCGTTGTCATCTAACCAGCTTTAAAGTTGAGTCAACTACTCCTGAAACGCCAGTTTATCTTCTTGATTGCATACTCCTCTTCAGAGTTTCACATCATCAGTGATAAGCAATAAATATGACGATACCTGCTGTGGAAGAACGTTCATATAAATCAAGAAAAGATGTCATGGTACTGAATCCTGAGGGGGGGGACCCCACAAGGACATTCCTTAGCCTGGGAGAAAGTGTAGTTAATCTTGACCTTAAAACGTCGATTTTTTGGATATGAAGTGAGCCAATCAGTTAAAGATGACTTTATACTTAATCGTTTGAGATTATTGATAATACATATATGGCTGACCCTATCAAAAGCTTTTCAGAATTCAAGGTAAATGGCGTTAACCTTACACTTGCGCTCAAGCATGGTTGACCATCTGTCCACCGCAGTTATCAGGTTGGTTTACAAGAGTGACCGTTTCTGAAGCCGTGCTGTCGGAATGAAAAAAAGTTTATGGGTATTAAATAGTCGTGTGTACCGTCGCATATCAGGGACTCCATAATTTTTGAGGGTATAGAGAGAAGTGCTACCGATCGGCAGCTTGATGGTTCGCTGCATTGACCTCCTTTGAAAATTAGTGTGATGTGAGCCAGCCTCCGACATTCCGGTAATGTGATTCGGCTTAGCGGATATGGGAACTTCACGCTAAGCGGTGTTGGCAAGATTGAAGCTTCTCCCCTCACTATAACAGAATGGACAATATCCGGACCAGGAGAAGTGTCGTTTTTTAGGTGCTGCACTTTCCGGTACACCAAGTCAGTGCTCAGGTTCGCTTCGGAAAGTTCTGTGCAGTTGCAGATGAAGCGTTCATCAATATATTTAGTACAGGCCGATTGGAATATCCGAGAGTACTGTTCTGCCAAAAGGTCCAGCGGTGTCACCGTTATTGTTGGTTGGGCCATTAGGACCTAGCAGTTTGGAAACTCCAGTTTTGGTTGTATGACGAAATAAGTATTTCGGATTGTAGATAAATTAATCGACGAGCTTTATCTGTTACTGAAGCCTGTCTTCTGTTACTGCCTTCGTGCATATGTTCCTTATTAGTTTGAATTACTTGTATGCATCGTTGTTACCAGTTCATTTGTATCCCGCCTAGCAGTGTCTTTTGCGGCTTGGCAAACAAAGAGCGAGGTTCCTGATTACAGTAGGTTGCTTGTAGACTTTGGGGACTGTTAGCGGAACAGAATTCTTTGTATCACATAAGATCTTGTGCAGTAAGAAATCCCGATGAGCATCCACATCAAGTTGGGATGAGCTTCCCAGTCCACCTGTTATGAATTGTTCTGTAAAGCTGACGCGTCCGACCATTTGAAGTTTGAGCGCATGTTGTCGGTAGGTTGTCTTAGCTCAGTTTTGCTGATAAAACTGAAGTCTATGACGGCGTGATCAATTTTCTTCAGGGGAGCCAGGATTTAGATGTTGTCAATTAGAAGTTCTTCGTTTGTAAATACGCAGACCAAGCGTGACGGCGTCTGACTGTTTTTTCCAAAGAGTTGCCGACTTCACATTTTTGAATAATCCCAGGTCCTCAACGAGGTTGAAGAACCGAGCTTCAATAGAGTTTCCTCTTTCAATGTACGTTTGTTACGGGAAATTGACTTTAAGAAGATCGAAGTTCCCTAGAGTCAGGATATAAGTGAATCCTAGACGAGTAAAGCGGGATAATCCTTCCAGCATACGATTTTTGTACTCTATATGAGCGTTGTGTGAGTGGAGAGGTAATGTGTTACGACAGTAGTATTATTGGGTTTATGCATCATTATATTTTTGGTACAATATAAAATTATCAGCACGAATTATTTCAACAAGTTTCCGTTTCCTATTTCATCATCGATATATACGATAAATATTGAGTGATCGCTAGTTAGATATTAGCATTTCAGAAGTCGAGATCTGAATAATATTCATTCTTTTCAATACACATTATCAGCCGTCACGATGTCTCCGATTGTAAATTTTTGTAACTTGTGCGGCGAAAGATTGTAAACTTTTCACAAACGCACCTGAATATGTTATGTAGTTAATTGACATAATTACTTGTTAAAACAAACATGGAAACAGATAACTGGTTGAAATATCTAGATTGGAGGACGGGTAACCTAGATATTCAAGTAGACCGCTTTTTAGGCGCGCAAAAGCACTTGTTGGAGGACAACTGCCGTAAAATTATGAGTGTTCCGCCCATCTCGATCAAGTGACTGGAATTACAGCTAGAATAAGTGCTCCTATGAGATATGGATAAAAGTTTCGTCTTAATAGCATCCAACTAACTGCAGTCACCCATGTTAAGATATAAGTATAAAAATCTAATGCAAAATTTTCCAACTAAAGTTCATTTCTATATTATCTTCACTAAAACTACAGTGAGTACCGAATGAATTCGTTGGTTTCGGATTCCAAACACTAGATTTATTGGTCGGACTAGAAACCAAGCTATAACTGTTGGTCGAAAGTAAGAAAGAACATCAAAGATATGTTTTATATTAGCAAACGTTTTAAAATTTCAACTTTATTATCGCACACACTTTAGATTAACCACGTTTCACAAACATTTATATCTGTATTTTATATGTGTTTGTATGCATGAATTGTGAATGCACACTGTTTATCACGTTATTTTGTACTGCCGCTGAACTTCGCTGCTCTTACATACTTCTAACTACGTCATTCTTTGTTTTTTATCAACCAAGGGAATTGACCGTAGAGTATAATAACGTCGTGTAAATTTCAGACCACTACCCACCTCGTTGGATTATTCACCTTCCCATATCAAGCATTATCTATATTTGCCTTCTCCCACTTAGCGCCTCATGCAGAGAAGGGCATAGACTCTTAGGGTGAATTCCATTTGTCGTGTTTCCCGAAAAAGACTTCCATATAAAATTCTTCACATACTAATTATTACTACGTTCAGTGATATATATTTGGTTAACACGTGTTTCTGTCAACTTTTTCACTTATGCATGAAGTCTCACCTTTGTGCACCAGTGTATCCGTAGCAAGTCCTCATTTTGGATCATTATATATCTTACATCAGTCATATCAGTTCGATATTTCACAGTCTTTGGGATATAGCAAAATGGAACAAAACCATTTAGACGTGGACTGGCACATATGCACATATTGCCGAACCAGAGGTCAAAATCAAATCGGGCTTCAGTCAGTGTACTCGGACTTTAAGAGATATAAGGCTGGTTAGTTTACAAAGATACTCTCTACGTCCAAAACTGACAAGAAATCCCAAACTTTTAGATTTCAAACCATAAAGCATAAAGAACAAGACAACAGAGCGGCCTCGATCCCTCAAGGGATTCGTGCTCAAATTACCAAACTCACCTATTGCCATAAAATCAGGCATACACATATCAAAACAGTCCAACAAGCAATCATTATCACTGGTACGAAAATGGTGACCCTCTCGAATGAGACTGAAAGTGCCAAGACCTCCTTATCGAGATGACGTGCCCAGGACAAAGTTCCTAAGATTCGGAAAGACTCAAAACAAAATTCAGCGACTACGTTTGCTTCTGTTTCCAACCGAAATCCCCATAAACCCTCGAGCAATAAGAAGCTGGCTCATAAACAGCATATTAACTAGCACCGCATCCTGAAATCACATACACTCAGACAAGGGTGGCAAGCACATTAAAGATGAAAGCAGATCACGATTGGAATTACGTGTAACCCTTCTTAATTTATTTACTGGCAGGTTGTCTGATCCAAAACCGTTAAAAGGAACAAAAGTTACAATCAGTCTTAATAGCCTAAAGTTTTTAGGCTAGTACATGCTGTTCCAGACCAATATGTAAATAGGCGCCGGTTTCCGAGACTACTGATCGTGATTATCAGAGTTGATATATAACCTTATTCACTCAGTACCTACATAACACCTTATCATCAAGTTGAAATTAGACAAGAAATGGTCAGTTGAATCGTTTATCGCACAGAAATTACAGTGGATGAGTGAAAGCACGATATACTGACCATTCAGTATTTATATAATTGCTCATGTTTTCCGCACGAAATTTAAAGCTCACCAGTATATCAATTGTATGCTATTAAAAAGGCAAGTCTAGCGAAGAAACACTTATTCGTAGTTCCTCATCTGGGCTATAAATAAATGTTTATTTCAAAAGTGAGCAACGTTCTCATAGCAAGTAGGTGGTGGTGAGTCTGGTCAACAGGAAACAATTAGTTAGT